CGCCTCCAGTTGTGACAACCAAAAATGTCTCTAGACATTGCCAGATGTCCCCTGGGGAGCAAAATCACCCTTAGTTGAGAACCGCTGATAAAGAGAAGCTAGAAGATCAGATAGTTATCAGTCTTCTAATCATATTGTATGATCAGAAACTGCCATGAAAGGCCCATAATCTGCTCTTAGGCATTACCTAAATAAGAGAGTTGCCAGAAATGATCTAAGACAGTCCTTGAGAGCCAAGATTAGCGTCTTTACCTTGATATTCAGAGCTGACATTTAGTGAGTGTTTGCTTAAATGCCAGGCACTTGCTAAAAAAAAAAAAAAAGTTGACGTGGAGTCTGACTCATGGTGACCTCATGTGGGTCAGAGTAGAACTCTTCTCCATAGAGTTTTCAGTGGCTGGTTTTTCAGATGTAGATTGCCAGGCCTTTCTTCTGAGGTGCCTCTGGGTAGACTTGACCCTCCAACCTTTTGGCTAGCAGCAAAGTATGCTAACAATTTGCACCTAATTGATGCCCATTAAATATGTGAACGAATGAGAAAACACTTTAGCTGAATGCTGTATTCAAATCTTAGTATTCTGGTTATTTTTACTACTTTCTCCTCAATACTGTATTAAAACAAAATAAGCTTCCTCTGAATGAGGGAGGCTTATGTATGAGAGGCACAGCTCTTGATAGGTATGCTGGGGTATTGGGGATCCTCAACTAGTGCTTATCTGAGCTTTATTGTTATCTAGCCTATTCAATCACATATATTCATTTTTAATTTTGCTTTGCCAGTTCTGCAAAAGTAAATCAATAGAGTTGTGATAGTATATATGTATAGTTAGGGAAATTAATTTATATTTAGCTTGAGTTTAAATCACACGGTAAATTATAAACTATTTTTTGAGAAACGTGTCACAGACAATACAGTGGCAGATTTTTGCATAAAATAATCAGAAGTTGATTCTACCTTTCCATCTCTCTCCATAACCACTATTCATAAGTTAAAAAAGAATATAGTTTTTAATTAAACCTTATTACAAACATCAATTATTTTTATTATATAGAAAATGAAACCTCATAGTAACTATAGATAGTAACACAGTTTAATTAAATTACAGTTAAAGCCCCTTTATTTCAAAAACTATCCCATTCTCACTCTCCAAAACCTATTGTGAAATTTTGGGAGCCCCCAAAATGTAAGGCTTGCAGCATTTTCCCGGTTGGTTATTAAATTCCTATATTCAATGTTATTCAAGATCTACTTTAAAATGGCTTTAAATTTCCTATATTGAACGTCTCAGATGCCAGGAAGCAGACAAGATCCATATATTATCTTCTGGTTAGGCATTTTGGGCCATTATGTTTACTCTAGACATTATGCTTACTCTGGAGCTCATGCCCCAAACCCGAATACTAGCTCTGAGTAATTGAGATCACATTCATCCAACATCCGTAAACCACATGCAGCTAAGTTAAATCGGAGGCAAAGAACTGCCTTTCTATTGCTGGGGTTTGAGGATGGAACTGATGTCTCCAAATTAGAAAGGATGTCGAGTAGAGTGCCGTCCTATACGCTCCACACCACTTCTCAGTTCCCCAAACTCTCCCTATGCCATAGTTGAGTGTCCTGCCATGCTCATCGCTGAATCCAGTGCCAGCCGCCTGAATGCATCAGTAGGGGACTGTTCCAGTGCTCACTGAAGTTTTATTCAATATGAAGTCAGATTTTTAAAGAGGTTATTTAGCATGATTTTACACTACATGTATTCTTAGGCTATATTAAAATGTCATCATATTATAATTATATATTTTTAAAAAAATTTTTTGGGATGTGGGCTTTCAAAGTTAAAGATAAAATGTTACACACAAATAAAAATGAATTTAGACCAGAGCTGTCCAATAGAACTTTTTGTGGTGATGGAAATTATCTATAGCTGCACCATCTAATACAGTAGCCACTAGCCACATGTGGCTATTGAGCATTTGAAACATGGCTAGTTTGACTAAGGAGCTGAATTTCTATTTAATTAATTTAAATCTAAACAGCCATATGCAACTAGTAGCTACTGTGTTGGACAGTGTAAACTATCCTTCAAGAGGGCAGCTATTAGATGTTTGGACCTAATGTGCTTCCTGGTGCCTGAGATGCTGAATACAGGAAATTTAAAGCCATTTTAAAGTAGATCTTGAATAAGATCCTGAGACTTCCATGTGGCTAGTCTCTTTCCTTGTTTTAGGATTGGGGGAGGGTCCTTTCGGAGGACAAACAGACAGCCCTGAACTACTTCAGCATCATGTAGAGATGGTTCCTAAAGGAAGATGTTAACTTTAAAATAATTCAGGCAAGCAGGGGCGGGGGTCTGGGGACAATGCTTTCAGGGGACATCTAGGTCAATTGGCATAACAAAGTTTATTAAGAAAATGTTCTGCATCCTACTTTGGTGAGTGGCGTCTGGGGTCTTAAAAGCTTGCAAGCAGCCATCTAAGATGCATCAATTGTCCCATCCACCTGGCGTAAGGGAGAATGAAGATCACCAAAGATAGGAAAGTAGTAGCCCAAGAGACAGAAAGGGGCACATAAACCAGAGACTTCATCAGCCTAAGACCAGAAGAACTAGATGGTGCCCGGCTACCACCAATGACCACCCTGACAGGAAATGCAACAGAGAGTCCGTGATGGAGCAGTAGAGAGGTGGGGTGTAGAACTCAAAGTCTAGTAAAAAGACCAGACTTAATGGTCTGAGACTGGAGGAACCCCGGAAAGAATGGCCCCCATACTCTCTGACAACCCAGAGCTAAAACAATTTCCGAGGCCAACTCTTCAGACAGGAATTGGACTGGACTGTAGGACATAAAATGAAACTCTTTCTTGAAGAGTGTGCTTCTTAGCTCAAGTAGATACATGAGACTAAATGGAAAGCTTCTGTCCAGAGGTGAGATGAGAAGGCAGAGAGGGTCAGGAGCTGGTTGAATAGACATGGGAAATCAGGGGTGGAAAGGAGGAGTGTGTTGTCACAGTATAGGGAGAGCAATTAGGGTCACACGACAATGTATAAGTTTTTGTATAAGAGACTAACTTGAAATGTAAACTTTCACTTAAACTACAATAATAAACAAACAAAAAATAACTCAGGCAGAGGCTAGAATTTCGAGGAAAAATCAGAGATGGTCAACTCTATCACTGTCTGCCCCCTTACTGGCCGCCTTCACTTTGCTTGCACCATCTCTTGCTGCTCTGGTCTTATTTTCAGTGTTGGGGAAATTTTCCTCTTTCATAGTTTCTTGTAGAGGCAAGAAGCATTTGCCTGGGAGATCCTAAGCTCTTGAGGAGTTCCTAGAGTGGCTTGGGTTTGGATATTAGAATAAATTTGCTCCTTTAAAGTCACATGTAAATTAACTTAAACAGTTTTTTAGAGCTACTTAGCAGAATCGAGTGGGAGGGTTCTGATCTGACATTGAGGTGGCTTTATGAAATGAGAAGCATGTCAAAAGTGGTAATAAAAACAAAATGAAAGATGAAATGACAGCATCTCTCAGGCTTGGACAAAGTGAGATATTAAACAAATCAGGACTGAGAGGTCCATGGAGTTCTGGAGGCTGAGTTTTAGGCCTTCTTCCTATTTCTTCCAACCTGGGGACAGCATCAGTGACATACATACTCTGTATGCTTTGAACAGACACCAGTCTTAGAGCAAGAAGGTGAACAGTGTTGCTGCCCAAATGTAGCTTGTACTAGTACCAGGTTGGCTGTGGAAGAATTACCAGGGTAGCTTAATAAAGATACAGAATCCCAGGCCCTACCCTGGGAGATTTCAATTACAGCAAACCGGGGGAAGGGCCTGGCAATATGCATTGTTAACAAGTGCCCCCCGCCCCCACCCCCAGGTGTTTCTGATGAACGACTAGATCTAGAAACTGCTGCAGAGACTGAAAGAAACCACTTTTCTTGTTAGGGGAGGGTGATCAGGAAAAGCTAAATAGCACCATATGAGAACTGAGGTCCTTTGGCCAAAAAATCAGAATAAAAGAGAACTCTTCCCAGTCCTCAGGGTGATGCATATAGCATTATTACAACTTACGCCTCACACAAGAAAGAATGGGCTTTGATGCTGATTATCTACTTTCTATCAGTTCAATCAGATTTAGTTCACCATCTGACACCAAACATTATCTTAGCAATTATTTTTGGTATAGGTGGGTGATAGACAATAGCAAAGGTGTTCCAAAAAATCTACAAAGATGATGATGTTCTTAGGCTAGGACTCCATAAGAATGAGCATTCACTACTAGTAATTAGAAAGCTTGAAAGAAGACATTCCAAACAGAATCTTAATTTGAAATTTTAGTACTAATGGATGACAGCTTCACAGGTCAAAGTCTTCTGTATGTGGTAAGAAAATACTGAGGGGAAATGACTTCCAAATTGGGCCCAGCCACCCCATAAACTGAAGAGCTTTCTCTGTTTTGCAGAGATTTTGTTTCTTATTTGTGAACCCATAGTTGTGATGGCCATGCTTACAGGTAAGCATCCCACCTTGTTCATACTCCCTCCCCTGAATCCAGTAGGAGCATCAAGGGCTTAGAGTTCACATCCCTGTGGAATCTAGGGATGAGCTCTTTGGTGGGAAGACTCTGGTGGGAGGGCCGTTTCCCTGGTTCTTACTGTCCCTCCCCTTTCCCAAGATGTGGGCAGAGGTTTGTGGATTTACTCCACTGATACTGCATGGTGCCTAACAAGCCCCAGGCCACAAAGTCTCTGAGGTACCCACCACAGTCCAATTCCTGTCCGGGGACCAGGACCATGTGCACCACCAATAGGAAGGCTAAGACAGGAGCAAGGCAACACCACTGTTTCACTGGTTCCTGAGTCTGTTTTCTTTTCTTTTCTTTTCTTTCATAATTACAGATTCTGTGTTTACTGAGACTGTTTTTCTTTTTTATTTTGATGAGTAGATTTCTTAACTTTGTGGTTACCTTGAAATTTGCCCTCATCTTCCTAAGTTTGAACCAGTCTTTTATTACTTTGGTATCGCCTTGACTTCCTCTCCATTTGAAAGTTCTATACGTGCGTCGTTTATTCCCCTTTTAATTGTTTTGACATTGTCATCATTTATAGATTAACATCTCTGTTTCCATGTTTTAAGTCTTTTAGATTTGTTTTATTATTGAGTTCTTTACCCTGAGTCTTATTTTTTCATCATGAGTACAAACACAAAGATTTCTCTGCTTGAGCATGCGTGGGCAAAACGCATGCTCACATGGATACCTACAGGGACATAGTCAAGGCTCAGAAACATTCAGTTAACATGGCTGAGGTTGGTCCTGGGTGGGGACAGAGCCACCTCAACCCTTTAGGGAGTCTTGTTTGGAAAAGAGCCAGGTAGACAGAGTATCCAGTGACAGGTTTCTCTGCTGTTGCTCAGACATGACGTGGCGGTACCCCAGCAAATTCATGGTATCAGAACAGATTTTCTGAAGTCGAATAACCTTTTTGAAAGGCAAGGTCCAGCGCCAGGCCTGGGAGACATTGAGGGCATTCCTAGCATTTGTGTGGAAAGCGTGATCACCCATGCCCTTGCCTTGGGTGATGTTTTGAACCCAGGTCTGGAGCCAGGGAAAGAATTTCAACCCTACAAAGTCATACATTTGAGAAGTCTGGGCCTGGGGTGCCCGGACCAGGTCCTCATAGCGCACAAGCAGGTAGCGCTGCTGCAGGGCTTTGGGCAAAAGCTGGATGGCCTCGAAGATCTCCTGCTGGCTTTTGCAGATGGTCTGCATCAAATGGTAGGGCCGGTCTTCCTCCTTGAGTTGTTGCCACTTCTCCCCTAATACAATGCGGCTGTCGGTCTCGAGTTCCGACGTGGTGCGCTCTCGGGAAGAGAACACAGCCCGGGGATCCCGGACCAGGTGCACAATGTACAGGTTGAGGGATGGGTCTGTTAGCAGTGGGTAGAGAGACTTCAGATTGAAGAAGCGCACCTCCTTGAGCACCACGTGGTTGTAGGAGCGGCAGGTCTTCTCCACCATCTCAAAGGGCTGTTGATTGCATAGAATCTTGCAGTGAGCCTGGGAAATGATTCTACCTCTCGGGATGACATTGCAGGCAGGTGGGGAACACAGGGCCCGGCTGGTCTCCCACTGGAAGAGGGTGGACTGTCTCCGGGGACCAGGTTGCATGTAGGCATCAAAGACACTCATGTCACAATGAAAGACGGAGCGTACCAGGTCCCTCACCGCCATGTGCAGCCTCAAGGCAGTGCTCTGGGTAAAGCTCATCCAGACATGCCAGGCGGGCTCCATCAGGTAGAAGACATCCGGGTGCTGCCCGAAAACCTGTCCGACAAAGGATGAGCCCGAACGCCATGAAGACAGTATCAACACGTGCACAGGCTTGGGATCCTCCTCTGAAGGCAGAGAGCTAGGGTTGTAACTGTACAGCTGGAAGAACAGAGCAAAGATCACCACCTGGGAAATCAGGAACAGCAGCAGCCTACTTTGTTTGGGAAGCATCATTGGGCAGAAGTTGAAGACCTTTAAGAAACAAGGAGACAGGCTTGTTAGGCTACTGGTTTGTTGTCTGCCTTCCATCTACTTTTTTAGCCAACACCACCTTCTCCCTGGCCCCCATCAAGGAATGACATACAATGCCTGAACCTTCCTGCAACCAATTGCACCAGTCCCTCCCCAGATCAATTCCTGTCCTTTGAAGTTACTGTGTCAATAACTTCTGTTTATTTTAGTCTCTTCAGTTCCTCCCTCTTTTTTGTCCCTTGGACTACCAAAAATGCTGTTTTCCAGTTGCTATGAAGTCGATTCTGACTCATGGTCAGTGACCCCAAGTGTGTCAGATTACCTTAATAAGGAAGTTACCAGAAATGGTCTAAGACAGTCTTTGAGAGCCAAGATTAGCATCTTTACCATGATAGTCACAGCTAACATTTAGTGAGTGCTTGCTTAAGTGCAAGGCACTTGCTAAAAAAAAAAAAGTTGTCATAGTGTCTGACTCATGGTGACCCAATGTGCATCAGAGTTGAACTCTGCCCCACAGAGTTTTCAATGGCTGATTTTTCAGATGTAGATTGCCAGGCCTTTCTTCTGAGGTGCCTCTGGGTAGACTTGAACTTCCAGCCTTTTGATTAGCAGCGTGTTAACCATTTGCACCCCCCGGGAGTTCCATGGAGAATGCCTAAACTGGCCATATTTAATTAGCATTTAGGGAACTGTCTCCTGAAGATGTGCATATCTCCAAGTAGGTTACTTATTAAGTGTGGTATGACCCAAGTCTTGGTTGAATGCCTTGCTAATTTCTCCTGAAACTAAGGGAGATAGGCCTGGGAGACATCTAGGGCATTGGGAGGAACTGCCTTGATACCATGGCTCCCCCACCCCTATCCTGAGGGACTACCACAAGGCCATTTCTCTCCCTCCCTGTGTCAACTGAGCACAGACGTTTGCACTGTAGCCCTGGAGGGTATGGCTGCAGGTTATAAAACTGCTGATGTTTAGTTTAGAGTTGTCTCCTCAGCGACAGAACCAAGTGTCCACAGAGTGTATCATCCTGTGAGAATGGGGATATGAGGAACTGACTCAGTGCTTACGTTGCTACTGAGTAGGTACTGGTAATGAACTGTATAAGTCCATTTGGGCTCATAGTCTCTTACCAGTTATCAGTAGACACTCTAAAAGTGTGGTAAGTCATCCTAAGAGCTGCCGTATTGATACATGTGGCCTGTCAGCCACCACATTGCTATTTGGGGGAATGCTTTGACTGCTTGACACAATCTACTCAGGGGTGCTCAGTACAGTTGGGGAGGTTGTGCACTGCATAACCTTAGGGAATGCCATCACATCAGTTTTCTAGATATTTATTATTAAAAAATTCTGGTAGCTGACAGTAAAATATTTTGGTCCAACAGAATAAATAGATCAGGATGACTTCCCAGCTGTTGGAGGTTAAATATCTAGAGAAATGAGTTTCATTTTGTAATTCACACCAAGGCTCATACAGACTGGTGGTGACCCTGAACTTACTCCCTTCACAATCAGGGCTCACTTTGTGTGAAAAGACCACTGTTCTCAGTAGCATGCTAGAATATTACACTAAGGAAAATTTAACCTTCTTTGGATCATTTTGGGTGTCTCCCTTACCTTGTGAAATAAATAACTATTAAGAAATATAGTAGCCATTTCACATAGTATAAAATATTAATAGCAGCAAGGTACAGATTTACATATCACTGTATGCCCAGCCACCATGTATCTGTCAGTTTGTTGTAATGTGGCGGCTTGCATGTTGATGTGATACTGGAGCTTTGCCACTGGTGTTTCAAATACCAGCAGGATCACCATGGATGGACAGGTTTCAGCTGAGCTTCCAGACTAAGCAAGACGAGGAAGAAGGACCTGACACTCTACTTCTGATGACTGCATTGCATCAGGCAGATCTGCTGCAAAAGATCGCTTTAAAGTGTTAGAAAGCAAAGGTGTCACTTTAAGCACTAAGGTGGGCTGACCCAAGCCATGGTGTTTTCAGTTGCTTCATATGTGAAAGCTGGACAATGAATAAGGAAGACCGAAGAATTGATGCCTTTGAATTATAAGAATTGATGCCTTTGAATTACGGTGTTAGCGAAGAATATTGACTAGACCATGGACTGCCAGAAGAATGAACAAGTCTGTCCTGGAAGAAGTACAGCCAGAGTGCTCCTTAAAAGCAACAATGATGACACTTTGTCTCACATATTTTGGATATGTTATCAGGAGGGACCAGTCCCTGGAGAAGGACATCATACTTGGTAGAGGGTCAGCGAAAAAGAGGAAGACCCTCAACGAGATGGACTGACGCAGTGGCTGCAACAATGGGCTCAAACACAGCAACGATTGTGAGGATGGTGCAGGACCAGGCAGTGTTTTGTTCTGTTGTACATAGGGTTGCTATGAATAGGAATCGACTCGATAGCACTTAACAATATATGCCCAAGACATTCCCCCTTACAGCTTTAATAAAGAAGAGAATGTATTTTCAGACATTAATTGGAGCTGGATTTAGGGTTTACTATTTTCCTGTGACAGGTCTTATCATTAATTTTTTTTAAACTTAATTTTTAATAGCTAATAGGCATATGGTTCAATTTTTATAAAAGGGATATTATCATGGACATAGTCCACAGACTTAAATTTGAAAGTAAGGCTTTCCTAAGATTCTGCACAGTTCTATTCTGATGAACATATTGTTAAGTAAATATGCCCAGTGCGCAGCTTGCTTCCAGATAGCAGCTGGGTTCGTTTTTGTTTTATGTAGCCTTTCTCGTTTTATGCATACACGTGTAAATTCAAATGTATATGCAGTCTTAATTTTTTCCCTCTTTAGAACACAAAAAGTAGCAGCTTATCCATCCACACCATGCTGCATCTTGCTTTTTTTTACTTAACAATATATCTTGTAGTGCTCTCTATAGCTGTACATTAAGCATTTCCTCATTCCTTTTTACCAGTAAGAGAATTCCACTGCATGGATATACCACAATTTGTTTTAACTAGTTTCTTTATTGATAGACTTTTGGGTTATTTTCAATTTTTCACCACTAAAAATGCTTTAATAATGACCTTTATGTTCACGTATCTTTGCACATGTGTGTAAGATAAACCTCAGACATGGAATTGATGAGAGTATATGCATGTGTAACTTTGATATTTACTGCCCAGATGGCCTTCATACTAGTCATAAGCCATCCTCTATATCCAGGGGTCCAGAAATATTCAACAGTGGATTTTAAAGAAACAACTGAGCAACCACAGACATGACTCCTTGGAGTTTATATTTTGCTTCCTGAAGATGTAGAACATGCTTTGCTGGCCCATGGACTTCCCTTGGAAGTCCCCTGAACATTCTGGGAAGTGTGTACTGATTCAACCCAAATCTTGACTGGCAATGCAGAGAAACCCCTCTTTTCCATTCATTACAACAATACTTTTCCTCCACATGGGCCAGAAGGATCCAGTGAGGATCATCTTTCCTTTGTGGCCAAAAAGCATTTTTGTTATATGCCAGGGAAATGCTAATGAATGGGTAATTTCTGCCTTGTAATCTTTGTCCACAGGTTAGAACAAGGCCAGCTAAGATCTCCTAGTTCTTTAAAACTTGAGCTGAAGAAGAAATGACCAGAAACTAGGCCATTATTGATAATAGCCCAGTAATGACCCCTAAAGACCAAAGCGGTGACTTTAGCAAGAGAGCCTCCCCCAAGGGCAACGTGAGTATGAGAAAAGTTTTGAACAGGGTAGGAAACAATGGAGCAAGAGAGAGAGAGGAAAATAGAGAAGAACTTGACCTATGTATAACTATAAGGAAACTGTGATAGCATTTTATAAGTAGGGCCTGTAATCACCTGAAGAAAAAGCTAACATTTCCTAAAACCAAAACCAAAAACTAAACCCATTGCTATCAAGTCGATTCTGATTCATAGAGACCCTAAGGATTAGGAAAATCAACCTTTCAAAGGCATACCCTCCTCCCACCCCCCAATCCTGGCTTCAGGCCCACTCTGCGTCTCGCCCAGGGCTCCATGGTTCTCAGCCCTCCTTGCTTGCCAGTGGCTCCTGGCGTCCTGCCCATTTCCTCCCAGAGTTGGAGCTGGCCTTCTAGCTCTATCCCCTGCTTGTTTTCAGGCTTTAGTTGTCCACGGTTCTTAGGAATTCACATGGGAACCCTCCAACTTCTTTCTCTGTTTTTTCTCTCCACGAGCATTTTTTCTGGCCAGAAAGAGAGTATACTGTTATGAAGTGAGTCCCATCCCTTGTCACTGGATTCTAGAAACACCCTGGATCTAGGCAACACATAATGGGGTTGGACCAGAGTATGTCTCGGGCAAGACTCAGCGCTGCAGAGACTGTAATCAGCGCAGAAGGCGGATGCTCTTGAGACTTTGGGAGAAGAAGCAAGGCAGTGAAGGTCACCAGTGAGTTTTAAGAGGCTCAGTGAAGAAAAGGAACATTGGGTGGACACTGACCTTTCTGCATGAAGCTCTTCATGGCATTCTCCTCTAATCTAACCACGCTGTCTGCCCCAGGGTACTTCATGGAGAGTGATCTCCTCTGCAGTCTTTGGAGAGGGTCAGAATTTGTGAGAAGTCTGTGACATGACTTACTCCCAGAGTCCTTATTTCTTGGCTGAATATTCTTTAATAGCTTTTCAATTGTACGTTTGAATTCCACCCACCCCATTGCCTAATGTCCAGTCTGCTCATCTCTTGATTAGCTTTTAATAGTAGGCTCTTTCTTCTGTCTCTCAGCTCTCCCCATTGTCCACTGCAGCCACTATCTTTTTATTTTTATTGTGGTAAATATATATGTAACAAATTGTTTGCCATTTCAGCATTCCTCATGTGTACAATTCAGTATATTAGTTACGTTTATCGTATTGTTAAACCATTACCCTTATCCGTTTCCAAATTTTCCCATCACCTTTAACAGAAGCTCAATATCCCCTAAGAAGTGAGTCCCCATTTTTCACTCCCTCCCACCCACTCCTGGTAACCACTAATAAACTTTGGTCTCTATATTCTTGTCTATCCTAGATATTCCATGTAAGTAGAATCATAAAATACTTGCGCCTTCGTGACAGACTTATTCCACTCAGCATAATGCAAAGCTATCTTTTTAAAGCACAAGTCTATCACTCACCTGAGTAAATCCTTCCATAATTTTACGGCATATAAAGGATTAAATCAAAATCCCCAAACCTTACACACAGGGTCCTTTATGACCTAATCTTTAATCTCCTGTGACTCCTCACCTTTTCATTTTCTTAGGCTCCAGAATTTAATTCAGTTCCTCCAAACTTGTCCTGTTATTTGGCAGCCCTGAGCCTTTTGCAAGGTTGCAACTTTACTGTTAAGATACTGTCCACATGGTACCTTCTCTCCAAAATTTATCATCCTTTCTCCCAAGATTTATTTGTTCCCCAAACTGTTCATTGGCATGCATCCCACTCTAGAGTAAGTAGCTGTATATGAATATCTCTCCCACAAGACTGTGATAACTTAAAGGTAAAAGTTATATTTTATCTTTGGGTATAGACTTGGGAAACTGTAATCTCCACAAATACCCTTTAACCACAGGAAACTGGTAGAGATACGCACCTTGGCAAAGAGTGGCCATATAATAATGAATTACAGCAGAAGTGCCACAAGGACTGGACCTGGGTCCTCTCCACTGTTGTGTCCCTAGAACCTGGCACATAGTAGGTGCTCCGTAAATATCTATCAAATGAACAACTGAAGGAATTTTTTTTTTTTTTTTACTCTTTATGGTGCCCTCATTGATCCAGGTAAGGAAGGTTGGGCAAGATGATATTTTTATTTTACACAAATAAAATTATTCCAATTCTAACTAAAAGTTCAGACTTATCCAAGGTCATAGAAGATAGAGGCCTCTTCTACCAGGGCTGGTGCACTAGCCCCATCACTTAATCACTTGTTACATGTGAATGGTATTTGACAATTTTCAAAACCTTTTTAGCCATAGTATGGAAACAACCCAGATGGCCATCAATAGATAAATGATAAACAAACTATGGTACATACACACAATGAAATACTACGCAACGATAAAGAACAATGATGAATCTGCGAAGCATCTCACAACATGAGTAAATCTGGAGAGCATTATGCGGAGTGAAAGAAGTCAGTCGCAAAAGGACAAATATTGTATAAGACCACTGCTATAAAAACTCATGAAAAGGTTTACACACAAAAAGAAACAATCTCTGATGGTTACCAGGGAGGGGAGGAGTGGGGGTGGGAAAACACTAAATAGACAATAAGACCAACAACCAAACCTGTTGCTGTCGAGTCGATTCCAACTCATAGCGACCCTATAGGACAGAGTAGAACTGCCCCATAGTTTCCAAGGAGTGCCTGGTGGATTTGAACTGCTAACCTTTTGGTTAGCAGCTGTAGCACTTAACAGGTACGCCACCAGGGTTTCCAAACAGACAATAGGTAAGTGGTAATTTTGGTGAAGGGTAAGACAGTACACAATACTGGGGAAGCCAGCGCAACATGTCCAAGGCAGGGTCATGGAAGCGCCATAGACACATCCAAACTCCCTGAGGGACCGAATTACTGGCCAGACTTATTGGTCTGACAGAGACTGGAGAAACCCCAAGAGCATGTCCCCCGGACACCCTTTTAGCTCAGTAATGAGGTCACTCCTGAGGTTCACCCTTCTGCCAAAGATTAGACAGGCCCATAAAATAACATGAGACTAAATGGGCACACCACCTCAGGGGCAAGTATGGGAAGGCAGGAGGGGACAGAAAAGCTGGTAATAGGAAACCCAGGGTCTAGAAGGGGAGAGTGTTGACATGTTGTGGGGCTGGCAACCAATATCACAAAACAATATGTATACCAATGTTTCATGAGAAACTATTTGTTCTGTAACCCTTCCTCTAAAGTACAATTAAAAAAAAAAAAGAAAACGTTTTTAGCCACAGTTACGACAATAATCCAGTTAGGTGATATAGAACAGTAGTGATCCAGACCCCCATTTTTCAGAATAAGTAAACTGAGCTTTAATGATTGACTCAGTGGTGGTAATGGCCCTATCTGGAGCAAAACCTAGGGCTTTTGCAGCCCAGGTCAGTGAGTTTTCTATTATCATACTACACCTTACCTGAGCTAGAGAAAATCTTCAGCTTGCTGCACCCCCTGCCTTCCACTCCCAGCACCTGAATAGAGAAAAAGCTGCAGGAAGTACAGAATCTTGAGCTCCAATGCCAGGATCTGAATGAGTCAGATACACCCGGGACGACCATCCCCACCTGCTTATAAGCTTTTTCAGACCTCTTTGGGGATGGAGCCGGGTAGGATGGGGGAGTTACTGGTAAGCAGGCCGGTGCTTTGGGGAAAGACTCTCCAGGTGATTCTGACTCAGCCCTCCTCCGCTAGCCCGCCAGCCCGCCCTTGTAATCCCCAGTTTAGCTGCCTAAGGTTATGTGATACTCCTGCTCCAGTAGCCTCTAGATAATGGCCCTGCATTGGAGTTATACGTGAAGAAATCCTCTTCTTACCTTGTGAATGGCTTAGGCTTCCCCTGGGCTTTAGAAAGAGGCTCACTTGCTAGCCAGGCTGTGCAGCTTCTCTCTTCTGACTCACCAACTCCTCTCTCGGCTGCTTCTTCCTCCTTGCATTTTGCACAATTAACCTTCTCTACTTGGAGCAAATTCCACTGCCCTCTCCCTTCTGAAAAAAAAAAAAAAAAAAGACCCACCTCCAAGACTGGATTGAGAAAGCATCTACTCTTAGGGAGCTGTAACATTAGCAGCTTTAACACCCAAGAGACTCAAGGGGTGGACACAGTAGCTTTAACACCCAAGAGACTCAAGGGGTGGGCAGACTGCTCAGGGAGGGCTGGGAGAAGCAAAGGAGGAAGTGTACTCTCCAACTACTGGGAGACACCCTGGCATGTTGACTCTGAAGGCAGATGTGAAGGTCAACTCCCTTAGAGCGGGGTGGAGAAAGAAAACAGGCCTGTGAGAATTAGGAGAAGAGGTGGATAGAGGGATTCCATGACAATTGCAACGAGAATGCCTGCAAGACCTTAAATCTTACATCTTTATCTTATCTTTGTTGGAAAATGAAGAGGAGAAAACCTGAAAACTGTTTTTGGATTGTACCTGTCTGCTTACTCCACCCCAGGTTTAGGGAAATAACATTTCTTGGCCTCTGTGTTATAGTCAACATCTTCACCCACCCTGTGGGAGTTAATTAATGTGTTTTGGGGAGACATAGATGTATTGGCGTTTGGTCAGGGTACAGGAAAAGAAATCATTTATTACCCCCTTAAGAAAAAAAGCAGCAGTTACCATTAAAGGTTATAGCTTCTTACTAGCTGTGTGTCCTTGGACAAATCATATAACTTAATGAGCTACGCCAGTATCTGCTACTTCACAGGGTTGTTAGGAGTATAAAACAATCAATAAGAACACTCCTTACTCCACGCACAGAGATTAGTATAAATTGTTGTGTAAAAGCCAATTACTTCGGACTTAGAAATCTGAGCCCTAAATATCAGTGTATAATAAGGATAATGATATTCACCTTATAGAATTGTTGTGTTAGGATTAATGCAGATAATGTCCCTAACACAATACTATGACAATAAAAAAAACCCCACTGCTGTCCAGTAGATTCCGACTCATAGTGACCACATAGGGTTTCCAAGGCTGTAAATCTCTATGGAAGCCAGCTGCCACATCTTTCTCCCACGAAGCTGCTGGTGTTTTCGAACTGTGAACCTTTTGGTTAGTAGTCGAGCATTAAAAAAGCTGTAGTTACTACTGAAAATGATAATAATACCTTTTTCTTTGTACTCAGCTACTGACTCCTTCCCCAGGCCTCAGAGAGAGCGAGCAGGCAGGGATTTGTATGAGCTTTGGCGTAATCTAGGAAGTATCATTGCTGGTTTCCATCAGCTGAGCCCCCTAAAGTCTTATCATTGGCGCAAATGACAAGAACCTGTGGAAGGTTGCCTTGTATTGATTTCAATTTTGCGGACTGCCGTTCATTCCCGTTTTTCTCTGCCAGAGTTTCCTCTGAGTGACTAGATGCAGAGGTATAAGTTGAAGAGCCCAAAACTGGGCAGTTGGTAGTTCTCCTTTTATTCTTATTATAAAAGTAATACTTGTGATAAAAAAAGTTTGGGAATGGCTAGGGTGATTGGTTGAACAACATAATGAACATAATTACTGTCACTAAACTGTTCATGTGAAGATTGTTGAAATGGCAAATGTTTTGTTACATATGTATTTACCACAATAAAAAAGTGATACTTCTTTATTATAGTCAATTTGAAAAATACAAAAATACCGACTCACAGTGACGCTGTATGACAGAGTAGAACTGCCCCATAGGGTTTCCAAGGAGCAGCTGTGGATTCAAACTGCGGACCTTTTGGTTAGCAGCCAAACGAACGCTTAACCACGCATAAATCCCTTTACATTTCACTGCCCAGAGAAAGCCACTATCGATCTTTTTTCCTATACATGTAGAGATCTGCATAACTGAGATACTGAAAATATAGCTTTGTTCTTTACCCCCCTTTGTTTTTATTTTATTTTAAAACATTTTAAATTGTGAAATATAACTGGGGCATAATGGTAAAATTTAACAGATAATATAAAGGAGCTATTAGAGTGTTGTCATTCACCCTGCTGAAGACTTTCAAGTGTCCCTTCCCTCTCATACCCCTACCATTACTCAGAGGGAACCTCTCTCCTGACTTTTATGGTAAGCAGTTCCTTGCTTTACCTTACAGTTTATCACATTGAACAATACAGTTCAATTTTTTTCATTTTAACCTTTGTATAAATGGAATCATACCAATATGTTCTTGAGCTTCGCTTACTGTTATCCAACGTTTATCCTTGTAAGGTTTGTCATATTGTCACATATATATATATATATATATATATA